TAGTTCTTTCTCTGGATGCAGATAGTGTCTTTCTTCAAAGGTCCTTTGTAGTTGATTTGAATATTCATAATACTCAGAATAACCTAGTCATTCATAGTTATTCTTCAAACAACATTGCTGTTACAGTATACAATGTTCTCTTGGTTCTGTTCATTTCATTCTTCATTATTTCATGCATGGTTTTTCTAAGATCATTGAGCTCATCATTTCTTATAGCAGACTCATACTTCATCACAAACATATGCCACAACTTGGTGAGCCATTCCCCAGTTGATGGGCATCCTTGCAATTTCCGGTTCTTTGCCACCACAAAGAGAGCTACTATAAACATTTTAGAACATATAGGTTCTTTTCCTTTTCCCCTAATCATCTTTGGAAATAAACCTAGAAGTGGTGTTGTTGGGTCAAAGGGCATAAGTACTTCAATAACTCTTTGGATATAATTCCAGATTGGTCTCCAAAATGGTTGGATCAGTTCACAATTCCACCAACAGTGAATTAGCGTCCAATTTTTCCACATGCTCTTCAACATTTGTCACTTTCCCCTTCTATCATTTTAGCCAATCTGATAAGCATAAAATGATATCTCAAGGTTGTTTTAACTTACATTTCTCTAATCAATAATGATTTAGAGGGGCAGCTAGGTGATGCAGTGGATAGAGCACCAGCCCTGAAGTCAGGAGGACCTGAGTTCAAATCCGGCCTCAGACCAGACTCTTGACACTTACTAGCTATGTGACCCTGGGCGAGTCACTTAACCCCAATTGCCTCAAAAAAATGACTTGGAGCACTTTTTCATATGACTACAAATTGTTTTGATTTCTTCATTGGAAAGCTGCACTCAATTCAATTCAATTCAATTGAATCTTTTGGTAAGGAGGGGAAGGGTGGTATCTGGACCCATGATTTCATTGGTAGAGGGAACTTCCAAGCTCCCTTGATCAATGCAGAATAGCATCTGTTTTGCTAGTCTTAAGAGAGTTAACAGGGTTGCATAGATTGAATGAGTTAGCAATAAGACAATTGTCCAGGTTTCTTGACATTGAGGCTGCCTCTCTATCTATTATACCAGGTCTGTATGTGAGTGTGTGTGAAAATAGATAGGTAGACAGAGAGACAGATGGATAGATAGATGGACAGACAAGCAGATGGAAGGATGGACACACAGACAGATGGAGAGAAACAGAGAGAGGAAGGGAGAGAGAAAGAGACAGACAGACAGACAGAGGGATCTGGACCTATGATTTTGTTGATGTGAGGAACTTTCCCTCCATCACTGCAGTTGGCCACTCATCCAGTAACTTACAGTCTTGAAGAGTTTTCTGGGGCAACATATACTTCTATTACCTAAATCTTTTTTTTGTTTGTTTGTTTCTTTGTTTCTTTATTGGAGTCTTTGATTTTTGTCCTGACCTACCATCTCATCAGGAATCAGTCTCTGTGATTTCATTTCTCTTCTCCTCCACAGAATGTAAGCTCCTAGAGGGCAGGGATTGATTTATTTTGATCTTGTATCCCGGTGATGGCACTACGGCTGGCACACTGTAGGGGCTTCATAAATACTTGTTGAATTGCATGAGTGATAGTGAACTCCTGGTGTGGAAATCCCCTCCTCCATTGGTGCACCCCAGCTGCATTTCTCTTAGAGTCTTAGAAAGCGACCTGGAGGTTTCAACAGCTGGTATGTATCAGCAGCAGGACTTGTCCCCACAGAGGCCACCAAAGCTAGCCCTCTATCCACTTAGTAGCGAGCTTTTATATAGTACTTAAGGGTTTGCAAAGTATTTTACAGATATTATATCATTTGACCCTCACAACCGCTCTGGAAGGTAGAGGCAATCCTTATCTTTATTTTACATATAAGGAAACTGAGGCAGACAATAATTAAATGACTTACCCAGGATCATACAGGTAGTAAGTGTCTGAGGGCACATCTGAACTCCAGGGCCAGTGTTCCCTCCACTGTCCCACCTGCTTCCATTCTATACTATTCATAATATTATTCACAGTAATAGCTGACGTTTCTAAAGTACTTTAAGTGCATAGTTCTCTAACCATGATGCTTGGTATGGATGACTCCCCCATGCCTGGAATGCTCTCCCTCCTCACCTCTGCCTTCTGGCTTCCCTGGCTTCCTTCAAGACAACCCCCCACCTTCTGAAGGCCTTTGCTGGTGCCTATCTCCCTCTCCCCCCTCCAAACCCCTCCTTCCCTTCCCCGTGAATACCTTCACTCTGAGATCACAGGCCATTTACTTTTTTTTTTTTTTGGGTGAGGCAATGGAGTTAAGTGACTTGCACAGAGTCACACAGCTAGGAAATATGTGTCTGAGGGCCAGATTTGAACTCAGGTCCTCCTGACTCCAGGGCCCAATGCTCTATCCACTGCACCACCTAGCTGCCCCTACCAGTCATTTACACTGTATACATCTTGTATGTACCTCATTGTTTATATGTTGTCTCCCCCATTAGACTGTGAGTGCCTTAAGATCAGACACAATTTTTGCCTTTCTTTGTATCTTCATCCCTTAGCACAATACGTGGCACATGGTAAGTGCTAGTTGAGTGACTGAGTGACTGACTTCCTCCTACAGTGAAATTCACCAGTTTCCAGTCCCCTGCCCTGTTCCTGGGGATGACTTCAGATGTGGATAGCTGGGAGGCAGTTGAAAATGCCTCTATGCCGCAGGTTTCTTTGCTAGTCACTAAAAATAGAGGGTTCGCATTATCTCTGGATCATTGGGCTAATTCAATTCGTCTCTGATTATAGGTAGCCTTTAATAAACCACAGTTCCATGGCCTGGTTCATTCCCCACTGAATTCTTTAACACAGCAGAGCCCAGCCTAATTACCCAGGGGGCTGACTGCTGTCTTCCTACCAAAGAGGACTCTTCCCCTTCTCACCTTGCTGCTGGGCCTTGGTGACATGGGAGCAGTCATTGTGAATCCCCAACACAATGAGATGATAAGATTTCTCAGGTCCCACCAGGTGGATCTCAGCTGTTCCCATTCTCCAGCTCAGCAGTCACCCCAAATCAAAGAGCAGCGGCTCTGGTCCCCTCTAGCTCTCATACAGCCAGGGTTAAGGAGGTTCAAGTGCTGTCCCAGCCATGCAGCAAACGCAGTATTGACATTTATGGAATCCAGGTCACTGGGTCTGGAAGGAACCATAGGAGCCCAACCCCCACATTTTACAGATGAGGAAATGGAGGCCCAGAGAGAGGAGGCAGCTGCCCCCAAGTCCCATGGGGATTGGCGGCAGGACTGCAATGGAAAGCCAGGTCTTCTCTGCTCCAGTGCGGCCCTCTGACTCTTTCTCTATATTGTATTGGCCCCCTTGGAAGGAAACCTATGTGCCCCAGAGGTTTATGGTGCTGTTACATTATGATCCATGTAGAGGCAGAGCACTTACTACCCCTTGGAGTTTCCCTCTCCACTTGGGGTCTTAGATTGTCTGTCTCCACCTATCCCACCCCACCCCCCAACAAAGCTCAATGAGTCTCTGCCATTTCCAACCGTTGTTCCTTGTTCTGCCCTCTGGGCCAAAACAACCTCATCCCTCTTCTAGGAGACAGCCCTGTAAACGGTTGGATGTAAATAGCTATTATGTACTCTGAGGCTTCTCCAGACTAAACTGGGAGGGGGTTAGAACAGAGGATGTCAGAGCTGAGAAGGGTCTTAGAACAGGAAATGTCAGGGCTGGGAGGGGCCTTAGAACAGGGGATGTCAGGGCTGGGAGGGGCCTTAGAACAGGGGATGTCACAACTGGGAGAGGCCTTAGAACAGGGAATGTCAGAGCTAAGAAGGGTCCTAGAACAGGAAATGTCAGGGCTGGGAGGGGCCTTAGAACAGGGGATGTCACAACTGGGAGAGGCCTTAGAACAGGGACTGTCAGAGCTAAGAAGGGTCCTAGAACAGGGAATGTCAGGGCTGGGAGGGGCCTCAGAACAGAGAACATGAGAATCAAGAGGGGCCTTAGAAATTATCCAGTCTAAGCCCTTCATGTTTACAGTTGAAGAAACTGAGTCTCAGAGAAGGGTGCTGACTTGCTCCAAGTCCTAAGGCAGGAGCTGGGCCTGAGAGGCTTTTCTTGAGCCAGATCTCTGCCTCCCTCCCTCCCTCCCCCGCCCCCACCACAGGCAAGGATGAGCCCAAAGCTCACTCCCAGAGAGAAGAGGCCCTGGGCTCCCTCCACAGTGTTTGTGCTCCCCTCTGAGCAGCTGATCTCCTGCCAGCAGACAATGGTGGGCATTGTCTCCATGAATGGGGAGCTGCAGCTGCTGGGGAGGAGGGGCTAGGCTCCTTTGGAGAGGAGCACAAAGAACCAGAGCGTCCAGGTGCTCATCAAATCCCCCCAGCCCTCCCCCCACAGCATCACTGGGCTCTATCAAATTCAACACTAACAATGGGCCCTCTGGTCTCTGTAGCCCTGACAGTTAGAGATCAAATCTCACTCTTCTGCTTTCTACCTGGGACAAGCTACGTCTCCTCTCTAGGGGAAAATGGAGAGAACACTGTTTGTACTTCCTCACAGGGCTGTGGAGAGGAATACACGTGTAAGCCTAAAAAATCATAGAAAAATCAACTGAGATTATTATTAGAATCAGCACACCTCGGTTCTTGCCACAGCTTTGCAACTGACTTGCTGACGTCTTAAATAAGCTATTAGCTCTCTCTGGGTTTCAGTTTGCCCACCTGTGTCTGACACATAGGAAGTGTTTAATAAATGTTTATTGACTGATGGACTGAGAGGTCATGGGAGGAACTGAACTCAAAGGTGATGTCTGGTTCTGGCATTCAGTGCTTCTACGGTAAAACAGTAGGACTGGGGCTTCAGGATGGATACCACAGTTTCATTTCAGCTTTTGCTAAGAATTTGCTGTGTGACTTTGGGCAAGGTGGTTAACCTCTCTGTGCCAAGTCTTGTAGAAGCTTTTTGACTAACTCACCCTTCCTTTCTGGCCCCCAGGGGTTAATTCTTCTCTCCCTTTGATCCTGCAGATGGCAGTGCCATATTCCGAGGCTGCTTCCACAAGCCCGACAACCTCTCCTTGGCTTTACCCGTGACAGCCATGATGTTGAACATGTCGGTGGACAAATGTGTCGACCTCTGCACAGAGAAAGTGAGTGGGCCAGTAATATCCAAGCTAGAGTTAATGGGGGTGAGAGGGGTGTGTGTGTGTGTGTGTGTGTGTGTGTGTGTGTGTGTCCTATGGGAGCTGTCGATGGTGCTGGGGGGATGGATGCTCTTCTATGTATTTTTGTTGTGCAGTCCTTCATTGACCCCATGGACCATAGCACACCTGGCTCTTCTCTCCTCCACTATCTCTTGAAGTCTGTCAAAGTTCATGGTCATTATTTCCCATGACACTATCTACCCATCTCATCCTCTGCAGTCCCCTTTTCCTTTTGCCTTCAATCTTTCCAAACATCAGCGTCTTTTCCCATGAGTCCTGTCTTCTCATTAGTATTTAAGCTTCAGCTTCAGTATTTGACCTTCCAGTGAATATCCTGAATTAATTTCTTCAAGTATTGACTCATTTGACCTCCTTGCATATAAATAGATGGATAAGGGAATGTATGTATGAATGAATGAATGAATGAATGAATGAATGAATGAAAAAGCATGAAAAAATACTGTGGGAAGCAGTGGGACAAAATTAAGCTAGTCCCTGCCCTCAGGGAGTTTGAATTCTCTTAGGGGAAGCTACAGGGGTAAGGGAGTGGTGCCCATGGCGGGAACTTTGGTCCTGGAAGTTAGAGACAAGGAGATTAGATTTATGCTCCTGGTTTTCCAGCTGGACTATGAGTTTCTGCTGGGCAGGATCTAGGTCTTAAAATTTTCTCCCATCTCCAAGACGCCCATCACAAAACCAGGCACATAAGTCAGTTAGCAGAGGTCCTAAACATAGAACTGGAGGGTATTTCAGAGTCCTTTTATTCCACCCCCTCATTTTTACAGAGAAGGAAACTGAGGCCAAAAAGCATAAATCACAAGAGCACATATCTATAGTTGAAAGGGAACTCAGAGGTTACTTCATCTAACACCCTCATTTTACAGAAGAGGAAACCAAAGACTGAGAGGTTAAGTTATATAGGTTCATAGAGTTAGAACTAAAAGAGACCTCAAGTACCATCTGGTCCAACCCCCCCCCCCATTTTACAGATGAAGAAACTGAGGCCCAGAGAGATGAAGTGATTTGCTGAAAGACACACAGCTAGGGTCCTCGACTCACTGATTTGAAGCTGGAAGGGAATAGAGAAGCTATGTTGTCCCATTCCCTTTTATACTAGAGATCCAAAGCCTAGAGAAGCAATCATTTCCCCAAGCTCCCCCAGCCAGTAAGTATCAAAGCCAGGATTCAAACCCAGATCTTCTGGCTCCAAAGGCAGACCTCCTTCTACCGCTCCTCCCTCAACATGGCTATTGATTTCCTCCTGTCTGGCAGCTGTCTCTCCTTCCCTAGAATAAAGTAAATGGAAATCCCTTGTAAATTCTTCTTCCCTAGGAAACAAAGAAATCCTGGGAGTGGAGGGCAGAGGTGGGGAGAAGAGGGTAAGGTTGGATGTTATATAGAACTTACAATATCAGAGCCAGAAGGGAACTTGGTATTCAAAATTTCATAGCTCAAAGGGCTGTTAAAACATGGAATGTCAGAGCTGGGATGGCTCTTAGAACAGGGAATGTCAGAGCTGAGAGGGGCCTTAGAACAGAATGTCAGAGCCAGGAGGGCTCTGAGAACAGAGAGTGTTAAACTATAACTGAGAAGATCAGAATTGAGAAAGACCTTCCATTTGGACCACATTTTCTGTCCACCAGTCTCATTTTAATACAGATGAGGAAACTGAGGCCCAGAAAATGGAAGTCACCTTTCTAAGGCTCCATCAGCCACAGAACCACATTTAGGACCTAGGTCTCCTGACTCTTGGGATAAGGCTTTCTCTATTCTACCACAGAGCCCTTAATGGACACACTCTATTACATCAGCCCCAAACATCTAGCCAGGTCCTTAGAAGATAGAACTTAGGATGGTCAAGGAATGAGGGGAGAAAAGACTGGAGCCCTGGAGTCTAGACATTATTATTTCACCACAACTATCCCATGAGGTGGGTGCCACAGATATTGTTATGCCCATTTAACAGATAAGAAAATTGGCTCAGAGTTGAAGTGACTTGCCCACAGTCACAAGATGCCTTTGTAGCATGGTTAGTAAGTGAACTCAGATCCCCTGACTTCCCTAAATCCAAGGTACTTTCTACCTGCACCCCCACCCCATGAAGCCCCCTCCAGCACCGAAAACGTGTCATGCCTGCAAAGAAATGCAGCAAAGTATGATGAACATTATTTAGACACTAACTATGTGGAGAACATTGTGCTGGGCCCTGGGAGAGATACGAAGTTTAGAAAAAAGACACAATCCCTGCCATGGAAATTATAATGTGGTAGAAGAATGAGATACCACTGCAGGTGGCTAGAATATATTATTCCATGATAAGTTCCTTAAGGAGAGCTGTAAAATACAGTGCTATGTGAGGACTGAGGGGGACAGTCATTACCCTTCTTTACCCAGTCATTGTCCTGGACTTTAAAGGATGGATCTTTAAAGGATGAAGAAAGAGAGGGAGGGCATTCCAGGCATAGGGCACAGCTTGAGCAAATGTATGGAGGCCTTAGAGTATTAGAATCAAAGGATCATAGAGTTTAGAGCTAGAAAGAAGCTTCAAGATGAGTCAATCTCGATCAGTCTTTCTCTAGTGCACTAAATTTTCAGAACATTTTACATACATGATCTTAGATGTAGGATCTACAGATCCTGTCTCTCAGGCTCAGAGGTTAGGTGACTCATATAGTCACACAGTTAGCAAAAATCCAGGGTAAATTTGAACCCAAGTCTCCCTGATGCCAAGTTTGTCACTTAAACATTGTCTTTCCAATTAAAAAAAAAAACCAACAAGTGATATTTATATCATGCTTTAATATTTGCCCATTGCTTTATGTTCTTTAGGTTATTCGAGCCCTACAATAACCCCAGGAGATAGGTACCAAAGTCATTATTACTGCCATTTTACAGATGGGGAAACTGAGGCTTAGCTGTACAATTCTTTGCCCAAATTCACCTAGCTAGTTAATGTCAGTGTCTCACCCAGCTCCAAGTCCAGTACTGCCCATTAAACATTGCTGCCACTAAGATCAGGCTGTCCCTAAAGAAACAGCCATAAGCACCCAGAAATATCACCCTGCCTGCCTGTCCCCAGCAATTAAATCTGAGCCATGACTGGGCACCCAGCTCTAGGTAGTGTGGCTGCTCCCTCTGGAGGCTAGCTGCTCAAGGTGTAAATAAAGTGGGGCCCCTGATTAACCTGCCACCACGGAGGCCCAGCTGGGAAATTGCCTGTCAGTCCCAGAATGTTCCCTCATAACTCTGTGCTTTAATATCCCAAATGAGGTCATGGAAGATGCAGTCCCTGGGCTTTTAGTGACCTGCCTCCCAGTGACAAATTTGCACATTAGTCAGCTGTTGTTGGAAAGAAGAATAGAGCAGCAGATGTGTGCATATGTGAATGGATATGTGGGAAGGAAGGAAGGGAAAGAGGAAGGGATGGAGGAAGACAGGAAGGAAAGAAGGAAGGAAAGAAAGAAAAGGGCAACAGAGGGAGGAAGAGATGGAGGAAGAGAGGAAGGAAGGAAGGAAAAGGGGAAGGGAGGAAGGAAGGGAGAGAAGAAAGGAGGGAGGGACAGAGGAAGAAAGGAAGGAGGAAAGAGAGAGAGGAAGGGAGGGAGAGACAGAGAAAGGAAGGAAGGAGGGAGGGAAGGAGAGAAGGAAGGAAAGAGAAAGAAGGGAGGAAGAGGGAGAGAGGAACAAGAAAATAGAGAGGAGAGAAGAAGAAGAAGAAGAAGAAGAAGAGAGGGAGGGATGAAGGAAGGAAGGAAGAGAGAGAGAGGGAAAGGAGGAAGGAGGGAGGAAACCTTGCAAGCCCTGTGCTAAGTCCCACTGCAAATACAAAAACAGAAGTGAGACTTATAGGAGAGTTCAACTTCAGGGGAGATGGTAAAGTTCAGGAGTCTTTAGGGTGCATCAAGCCAATAGTGCTTTTAGTAAGTGCCTACCATGTGCCAGGTGCTGGGACGGCAAGCAGATAGTAATGCCCAATGGCTAGAATGAGTAGCATAAGACAGATGGTGAGGCTCAGCCTTGAAGGATACTAGGAGTCTGAGAGATGGAGGTGAGGAAGGATTGCCTTCCAGCAGAGGAGACCTCCTGCCCAGAGGCTGGAGACATGTCAGGTCAAATATGGGGAGCAGCAAGCAGCCCCATGTGTCTCTGGATCACCCTCAGTTCTGATGCAGAGAAGGAGCTGACCTGCAGTAGGAGAGGAAGGGAAGTCCTGGTCCTGGTCCATCTGTCTCTGCCTAGAGGCACTGAGAGGCTCAGGGACTTACTGAGGGCCCACAGCCCTCTGAGTCAGAGATAGGACCGGAACCTAGGTCTTCTTGACTCTAAGGCTGACTCTTTGTTCATGATGCCAAGCTGCCTCACTTTTACTATTCCTATACCTATTAATTACTATTACTACTACTACTAATAATGATTATAACTGATATTTATTTTTAAAATGCTAATAATAATACTGAGGAGTGAGCCCATCAAAATGAACTTAAGTTCTAATACTTTTATTCAACCACAAAAAAATTGTATCCCCCATGTCAAAAAAAAAAAACCCCAAACATTAAATAGATGATGTCCTCAAAGTTTTAGTTCAGTTTTAATCTATTAAAGCTAGCTAAGAGAGCAGCTTACCCCTCCATAAAATGAGATGATAGTGATGATAAAAATAATAATGACATTTACATGAGGATTTGCAGACTGCTTTCGGTCCATTATCTCCTGGAGCTCCACACCTGCCCTAAGGTGGGTACCACGGGCACTAGTGACCTTGTTCCATAGATGAGGAAGCTGAGACTCAGACAGGTTAAGTTCCCCAAGATCACACAGCTTCTAAGTGTCAGGAGTGGGATTTCTGAATCCAGATCTGGGTTGGTGGTGGGAAGAGTCTACAGGACCTGAGGCTGCCCACTGCTGTCCTGCTGTGTCCAGGACCCAAGCCAGCCTTCACTGATGCTCTTTCCTCCCCCAGGAGTACCCCCTGGCAGCCCTGGGGGGGAAGGCCTGCCACTGTGGTTTCCCCAATACTCGCTTCCGCCTTCACGATCAGGAAGATGAGCAGCTCTGTGCCCAGAAATGCGGTGGCGAAGAGTACGAGAGCTGTGGGACGATCAATTATTTCATTGTGTACCAGACACAAGTGCAAGGTAGGCCTGGCCTCTGGCCCTCAAGGACCACCCTCCTGTCTGCCCTGCCTGGCAGGCAGTGAGTGCCGCAGAGCCTGCCCCCATAACCCTGACTTCATGGGGCAAGCAAGATCATCTTTGCAGAGTGCTTACTTAGCACAGAGCCTGGCAAATCAAATTGTGGGTACTTCATGATGCTTGTTACTCTCTCTCTTTCCAAGCATCAAATTACATTGTATATACTTTCTATATAGTTTGTATTTACTCATCATATACTTACGTTGTTCCCCATCCACCCACCCTGCCTCCTTGAGGGCAAAGACTGTTTCTTTTTTGTTTCTTTATTCCTGGTGCTGGGCACACAGTAAGTGCTTAATAAATGCTTGTGGAACTGAATAAAATTTTATGATGGAGAACTCACTACCTCCAGAGGCAGTTCTTCAACTTTGGACAGAACTCATTGCTAGAAAGCTTTTCTTATCATTATGCCTAAATCTGCCTGTTTGCATCCCAGCTCTGCCTCAACTACCTGCAGATATTGGGGGATAGGATAACAATAACAACAACAATATTAATAGTAATAAGGGGCAGTGTGGTACAGTGATAGAGAACCTCCTCAGGTCCCACCTCAGACACGTGGTACAGTAGAAAGGTCACTGTGTCTGAAGTCAGTGGATCTGTGTTCAGATCCCCTCTGATCCTGATCTGAATCATCTTTAACTCTTTCAATCTCTGGGCCTCAGTTTCCTCATCTGCAAAATGAGGGAGTCGGATTAGACAGCTACTGGGGTTCCTTCTTCCCTCTAGAATCCTATCCTAGACAAACCAGCTGAGTGACTATGAATGAATGAATAAAAAAGCATTTATTAAGCTCTCACCATGTGCCCAGCTAGGTCGCATAGTGGATGGAGCCCCGGGCTTGGAACCAGAAAGACTCATCTTCCTGGCTTTAAATCCAACCTAAGACACTTAGTAGTTGTGTGACCCTGGGCAGGTCTGCCTCAGTTTCCTCATCTATAAAATGAACCGGAGAAGGAAATGGCAAACCACTCCAGTATCTCTGCCAAAAAAA